ATATCAATTGTACATATTTATGGGATACAGAATTATATTTCAATACATGCATTCAATATGTGATGATCAAATCAGGGTAATTGGCATAACCATCTTTGTAAAAAAATTATCATTTCTTTGTCATTATTTTCTTTCTTGTAGAAGTAGTGCAAGTTTATGGTACAAAATAAAACAAAACAAAAATTCAATCAATATAAAAAATATAAAGCAGAAAGTGAGTAATTTAGAATAATCTCCCCATCTCAAGGTCTTTAACTTAATCACAGGAGCAAAGTCCCTTCTGCCATGTGAGATGACATATTCAGTTTCTGAGGATTAAGATGTGGACGTGGGAAAGGGCATTATTCTGCCTACCACACTTACCTTCCTTTGGCTAGATAGAATTTTCTTTACTAGTGCAGCATAACAGTTAAAGCCGTGTGTTAAACTAGCTACGAGCTCAGACCCTGCAGAGCACATGCATTCAAATCCCAACTCTGCTACTTATTAGCTTTATGAACTTAAGCAAATTACTTAACCTTTTTGTGACTCAGTTTCCTCATCTTAAAAAAAATGGAGGTTACAGTACCTAGCTGACAGGATTGTTCTGAGGATTGAATTAGTCATTGTATGTGTAAAGCATATAAAACACCAGTTGTGTCTAGCACTTGGTGATCACTACGACTTAAGGGTCTGGAAAAAGGATTTTCTGGTGGCTTTGCACAACTTATTATGAATCAATCTTGCTTATTTTCCCCCTCAATTTATTGAGCTTATCAGTACCTGTGTCTTCTCTCCAAATATGACATGGCACCTTAGCCTGCTTCATCTGGGAAGGCCCATTTCCTAACAACTGCTGAAATCATGTTAATACGAAATTTTCATTTTGGATTTGTTGTAAGTGTACGTTTTTATTTTTTGTTACTTGCTTATTAGGCAACTTCGAAGCTTTATTAACTCACTTATTCACCCTTACACCCCACAGCTCGTACTATCCTTCTTCGTTTGTGTGTCTTCTTGCTGGATTTCTTCTTTAAAGAGTGTTTTCAACCTTAGCTCTCTTGCATCTGAATAACTCCAAATCTAAATGGGACTTGGTAAAAACTCAGCTTTAAAAAAAAAGTGTCTTCAAAGAGGGTTTTATAAGGTAAACCTTCTAAGATCCCGTATGCCTGAGAACACCTTCATTTCACCCTTATTTAAATTTTAGGCTAGCTGCTACAAAACTCTAGATTTAATTCTTTTTCTTTCAGTACTTTGAAAATTGTCTTCAAAAACTACATTGTTTGGGCCGGCCCGGTGGTGCACTGGATAAGTGCGCCGCTTGGGAAGCGTGGCGGCGCTCCCACCCGAGGGTTCGGATCCCACATACAGACCAGTTCCCGCTCACTGGCTGAGTGAGGCGCGGGAGCAGCACCGAGGGTTGCGATCCCATTGCCGGTCCCCGGTCCGGTACGGGCGCAACACTGAGGGTTGCGATCCGTTGCCGGACACGGAAAAAGACAAAAGACAAAAAAATAATTTAAAAAAAAAAAAAAAACTACATTGTTTTCTTCTTATGCCAGAATTGCTATTAAGATGTCTGAAGAGAATCTGATTCTTGTTAGAGGTGATTTTATTTTTCTCTCTGGACTCAGAATTTTCTCTGTGCATATGAGATATATATATATATATGTTTCTCACTGTTGTCTGTCTAGATGTGTTTTGTTTGTGTGTGTGTTTTTTTCCGTTTCTATGCTACTAGGCACTGTCAGTGTAAGCCCTCACATATTCCTTTAATTCTAGGATATTATCAGTTTTTAATTTTTCAAATGTTTTCTCTCCAATTATATTCCCTTTCCTTCTGAAATTTCTAGTATTTAAATACAATACTTTTATCTTAATTTTTCATAACTTTTCATTTTTTCTTAATATTTTCCATCTCTTTATTTCTTCAAAAGGCCCTCCAGTTCAGTTGATCAACCTATCATTTTTTTTTACTCTATCCATGGTGCTGATAACATCATCTTTGGAGTTTTTCATTTCTGGTTCATTAATTAAACATTATTTACTATAGGTTGTTCAGTTTCTTGTCTTTCTGTTATGGCATTTCCCTAAGGATGTCAGCTGTTTGGGCGACGAGACTCTGAGTAGACAGTGGAAGCCCAGGGCTCAGCTGGCGTCTCTCCCAGTGTGTCCGGGGAGTGAGCAAAAGGGGCTCTACATCACAGCATGCAGAACCTCTGCTGCTCAAGGCAGTGGAGATAGACACTATGTGGATACTTTATATGACAAGCGTCATCTTGCTGGAAGAAGTTCAGATGGCTTCTAGTTTGGAGCCACTTTATACAGTATTACAATGAACATTCTTGGTACAAATATCCTTGTATACTTTGCACTAATATTTCTGTAAAATGTACTTATAGAAGCTGAATTGATAGGTTAAATTGAATGCCTATTTTAATTTCAGTAGATGCCAAATTCATATCCCAAAAAGCCATATCAATTTCCATTGCTACCAACAGCATGTAAGGGTGTCCATTTGGTCCACACTGAGTACTATCAATCCTTTTAATCTCTGCACATGAATTTTTGAGACAGACCTCCAGCCCCTTTCATAAAGCAAATCTCAATGTAAAGTGCCATGGCAATTTTCAGCTTGTCCGCATCACCCTGACACTGCCAAACAAAAGACTAACCTTGTCAGCCAAGGCAAAAAAAAAACCCTGACATTTATTATAGAGAAGTTCTTTTACTAGTTCTTTAATGATGTCTTTATCGAGAAGAGGACTTGGGAAACTCTGATAGAACCTGGCAGTGCTGTCATCTCTGCCTCTAAATCAGAAACTGCATGGCCAGGGAATTTCTCAATTTTGTTACTTTAGCAGTGGAAGCCATAAACATTCTGTATCTCTTTTTAATGATTAGATTATCATAGTAGGACTCACATGGCAGCCCTTTGAAATGGACATTGTCCATCAAGAGCTGAAATCCAGTCTTCCCTTCTGTACTCAAGCGCTTTTTCTCTCCCTCGGCTACCAAGAATGCTGTCAGGGTCATTACCTACAAATTGACTGTAGTGTGCGGAATTTCCCCCCTACCGTAAGGCTTTCCCAGTCCTTCTCAGCAAGTCTTAATTGATGAGTGCACATTAAATAGTCTCACTTCTACTATGGAGAGCATAACACTATGAGATGTAAAAGTGCCCAAAGCAAGCCTGAGAAGTATCAAAGGTATTAAAAAGGGAGAAATGGCAATCAGGTCTCACATGCTCAGGGAGGTACTCAATGCTCAGGGAAGAGCTGGTACTCAATCAAGAGAGCAGGGACACAGTGTCCCTGGTGCTTTGCAGGGGGCCAGTGAGTAGTTGTTGAATTAATTAATTAATTAATTATTTTAAATGAACAGAATTGATGAAACCAAGGAGAGAAACCTATCCAGCCCAAGCCAAGAGTGCCCTCCTGTTCAGAGCAGTATCTCCACCCCGTGACGAAAGGGATGAGTTTATAGCTGCTGTTTATGGAAATACATGATGTCATTTGAGATTGGGCTTCCCTGTAGAGCACATCTTCAAGCTGCCTTTTAACAAGTGATGAAATTCGAATCAGAGAAATTCAGAGATTTGTTATACAACAAATAAAATGGCAGAGCTGGGATTTGAAACCAGGACGTTTCCAAAGACCAGTCCTTCCCACCAGCACCACACAATTCAGATGTGAAAGAATTCGGTATACTATTGAATAATAAACATCAGGATAAAAAGAAAAAATACTGATAAAAGGACAGAAATCTACAGTGAAATATACGAGGATCAGAGTCCCTCACACCATTTCCTGCCACACCCCTACACCCCAGGGTGGCGCATGTGATTTCTCGCAGGACAAAAAGACTAGATAGGGAGTGTGTCTCCCAGTGACTGCTAGTGGCCCAAGCGGCTGTGTGGCCATCATATGAACGTCATTCTTCAGGCTGCCCCTGTGAAACCTAAGGGCTTCCCTGAGCCTCCTTGAGCCTCTTCTTCAACCAAAACTGAGGAATTGATGATTAACTAATTTTGATCTGTGTTTTTGTTGCTTTATGTTGAAAGTCGCACATACTCAAATTACCCACTCTGATATGTTTGCTCACTCAAAGTAAATAAAAACCATAGGGCCGGCCTGTGGCTCACTTGGGTGAGCGTGGTGCTGACAACACCAAGTCAAGGGTTAAGATCCCCTTACCGGTCATCTTTAAAAAAAAAAAAAAGTAAATAAAAACCATAGGGCCGGCCTGTGGCTCACTTGGGTGAGCGTGGTGCTGACAACACCAAGTCAAGGGTTAAGATCCCCTTACCGGTCATCTTTAAAAAAAAAAAAAAGTAAATAAAAACATAGGATGTTTATTCATCGTATGCCAACCTTAATGGTATTTAGAAAAATGTTATCGTGGGGAGGAATTCCAAGTTTGTGTTCAGTTTCTGCTGTTTTCTGAGGTGTTACCTTCCTATTTTTATAAACCATGATTTTTCGTAACTGAATTTTAACCATTAATATGAGAGTCCTAGATGCAGTGAGATTGTATAGAAATCATTCTACCTCAAGAAACATAGTTTCATCTTAATCCAGTGATGCTTGGATAAAACAAAAGAGAAGTTTGCCATGAAAGGCCTTTCCCTTAAGTATTAGTAATAACATCAAAATAGTAACCACAAAAAAAACTACCTTTATTAGATAAGGGGAAAAAAACCACCCTTACTGACCACTTACTGCATGCTAAACACAAGCATTATTTCCTGTCATGCTGACACTAACCCTGTGAGAGAGATTCCTATTACTTTCATTGCACAGATGAGGAAATGGAGGCTTAGAACAGAGTCTACTAAGCTACTAAGTGGTGGAACCAGGATTTGAACCCAGAGCTGCTGACTCTTAAGCTCATACAAGGTACTGGGCTTGCTGGTGGAATGCAGAAGTGTACATTCCAAGTGATTTATATTGGAAGGTGGTCTTTCCTGTGATTAAAAGTACAACTACCAAGCATTGTTCTCTCTCTTCTTTTTGTAGCCCTGTTCACTGCCTACCTTGGAGCCAGCATGACACACCTAATGGCTGGGGTGAGTTTGCTTTGATTTCACTTGATCATCAGCATAATTGACCAGCTTTCAATGATATGGAAACCCCTCCTGAAATCTGGATACCTGGGTGGTGTCCATGACCCATGACCATGATAACCAATGCTCTGTCTTCTGCTGGGTTCTCTGGCCTCTCACCTTCCAGCACCACAGTAAACTTCAGTCCCAACTATACTCACTACCAATATCAGATTGTTTGGTTTAAAGAATGAAACTTAGGTTTTAAAACATATTATCAAGTTCATAGTCTATTTATATAATAAGAAGTTGACTTTAGAATATCTTTTACTTAAAGAGAAAGCCAGGACTATGTAGTCATTGAGAAATGAGGAAAGGGAGGAAAAGGATAATCGGCTAAAGACCCACAGGTTTTTGCTTTTTTAAATCCAGTCAATGGTTTTCATACCTCTTGTCTTTTTTTAAATCTCAAGCCAGTTATCAGTAAGACTTATTATTAAGTAGGCCAAACCTTTGCCCATTATGTGCTTCTTACCACTCCTCCTGCTTCCTCTCCAGCATGTCTTCCTTCCCTTTGACCTTTTCCTTCCCCTCCCCTCAGGAGCCCAGTACCCCTAACTCTTTCGGGATCCACCACTTCCCAATGCCCTGAATGTTTTTCTTCTTCTCTCCCACCACTGCAGGTGATGCAGGGCCAGTTTCTCATAGCTCACTCCATGTTGATGTGGTCGTGGCTGCTAATGAGCTAGGCAGTATCTAGCCCTCTCAGCAGCAGCCTAGAGAGTTTGTCTGGGAGGGTCCTTTTAGATACACAATATCTTAATTGTGGAAAGCCAAAGTCCCACCATTACAGACATGCTTGATGGGGAGTACATTAGACAATTGTTGGGCCCTTCACATCCCAACAAAGAAGGTTCATAGGCTTTGGTCCATGGACCAGAATTCGGCAGGCTACACAACAGAGTCAGTTAGGGAGATTTTGAAAAATACAGATCTTTAGGCCTGATACCCTGGCATTTCTCATAGAGTGGATCTGGTATGATGCTAGAGCACCTATGTTTTTTTTTAACTCCCCCAGATGATTCTGATGTGCAGTAATGTTAGTGTATCCCTACACTCCGTCACAGCCCAGGGGGCCCATGCATAGGGCCAGAGCTAACCAATGGTGTATGCTCAGAATTTGTGGGTTGCCATGGACAGCACAAAGATATTCCTCAGAGTCAAGGAACTTAGAGTCTTTTCAGGAGACAGAATAGAAAGAAGTAAAGCAAGTAGAGTCCAAGACTGAGACTGGGTGGAAGTCAAGATCAGAGAGGTCACTGTGGGCTGGGCTAACAGAGAAGGCCTTGTGGGTGTGATGAACGGTTAGGGGCCACAGTGTTTTGCTAAGCATCATCTCCTTGGGCAAGTGTCATCTTTGCACATCTGGTGAAGGACGTCTGAATGTATAAGGGAGGAAAAGACATATAAGATAGAAACATAACTAAGCACCCTAAGAATGGATGAAAGCATTTCAATGCTACATGCCCTGAGCTCTTAGATTCAGTCTCCGTGGACATAAGCAGCATGCAGAGCAATGCCCATGCTGACTCATCCCCCGGGCTGAATGGGAACAGAATAAAGTGGACTTCTTTCAGGTTGGATCTCAAAGGAGCATGTGTCTCTCCTTTCCAGGTCAGATTGCCACCTTGTACCTGGTCCTTCTGTTTGGCCACATTACTGTTCCTCTTGCTGACCACACAAAACCCCAACATCTACAGGATGCCCCTCAATAAAGTCACTTATCCTGAAGAAAACCGCATCTTCTACCTACAAGCCAAGAAAAGGACAGTTGAAAGCCCTTTGTGAGAGAGACCCCATCCACAGCTGTGGCTGCACGTCATTTCTGACTCACCGTGCCAGCTGACTTCCAGGGTCTTGGCAAACTATTGTTTTTCACTAGTAGCAACTTTTGTACTAATCTGTCAGCGATCTATTCTTATGCTCATTTTGTATTTTTCTTTTTGACTCCAGGAATATCCTCAAGTATATGATAGCCTCATCTAGGTGATGTACTTTAGTGTGGAATTTTAAACCCCATTGGGGGGTTAGTGCTAAGACTGTAATGTACATACAGTCAAAATGCTTCAACAGGAAGAAGAAATGAAGCCAGAACTAATTATTGACATTTATTGATATTCTTGGTGTTTGGCTGGCTAGAGGATATTAACAATATTAAAAATTAAGCTCTATAAACCAACTAAGCCATAAAGAATTCACAGTGATCAAATTGAAGTCAACCCAGAATTCTCAGATAAGCAGTTTGGCTTTTTCAAATCAATGCAAGTTACACATTACAGCTGTGGTCAACACTGCAGAGGCGCAGGCTGATGGCTGAGCTCGGTCCCCACTTCCTCAGGAGAATGGCCTCCACGCTGTTCACTGTGTGTGTGGCACTCTCTTCTGGGAGATGATAGGGTTTTTTCAGGTAAACAGAGCTTCAGGAGAGAGAAAGGGATTTTGTCAGTCATAATTATTCTGTGTTGCCACTTTTCTTAGAGATGGCAAAGGATTTTTTAGATAGAGATTATTATTTTTTCTTATGATAAAGGATTTGTTTTTAATGAGACACAGTAAGAGAAGATTCTAGCTTAACCAATTCCTAGATAGTAAAGAAAACTTACATATATATAAAAGACTCAGCACAGCTATTTTTACTATAACCCCTAAATTGATTTTGTAAATGCCGCAAATGCATAAAATTGTCACCAACCCCTAAGGACCCTTTAAAGTCACATTTTTAATTCATCTGAGAATGTCTTATAAAGACTAGAGGTTAAGGTTAAATTGCTGATGGGTGTTATTTTTAGAAGTTGTTGAATTTCTTACTTAAAAAAAAAAACAACTCATTATGTTCTGCACAGAATCCAATGGTACTTGAACCACCAAACAGAAACACAGGTAAGGAATTCTCCTGTTTTCCTCTTTTTAATTTACCAATCATCAGTTCTATAGAGGTTCTATGACCAAACTTGCTGAAGATGGTGGTGGAAAGTTATTACCTTCCACTTCAGTACATATCGGTGCAGTGTTTTGTGGACTGGAAAAGTGAAACTGGAATTCTAAAGATGATTTCCTTTTTGGTTTTACAGTGCTCAGTGCACATTATACAGTTTGCTGAATGAATCAACACACATAGGGAAGTAAACCTACAAATATTTTAGTCAAAGTTCACATCTTCCTTTTCTCAGGAAAACAAACAAACATTTAAAACGTTGCAATTTAAAAACCCTGTGACCAAAGCCTTTTGAAATCATGAATTTGCAGCTGTCGTAGATTTGTGGATATTCCTGTGGAAAAACTAAATTTTCAGTATTTGAGCTGAAATCTTCCTTGTTAGGGATTTCTGAAATAAGAGTTAGGGGAAACAAATAAAGCAAACATAACCAAAGGTCACCAGCAGCAAAGAATCTGGGCCATGGCTGAGTAAGTCAGAGGCCTCTACAGTGGACCAAGCTTATCTTCAGAATGGAGCTCTGGTGTGCTAACTACAGGGTCTTCTCCCTTTGTGCCCACACAGACTTGTAAATAGGAACATTGTCTAATTTAAATGGTATTAATTCTCTCAACACTTTGTTACTAAGTGTTATCCTAAAATTGAATTTTCTTAGGGAACACTTGTATTTTTTCCTATTGTTTGTATAACAAATTTCTTTGTAAGTATAGGAATAAATTATACTCACAGCTCAGTTTTGTGTAATGTGGTTTTACATCATATTTATGAACAGTCACATGCATAAGAATGTATTGCTTATATTTCAATGTGCTAGAATCCTTATTCCTTACTTTTACTTGGTAATCCACCAGATATGTAGTTGAGCATACCTTGTTCAACTTCAGATTGACAGGCCCATCCCCTTGGGTCTCTTCTCAACTACACATTGTTCTCCCAACTCAGGGATGAGAATGAATTACTGAGGACAGTTACAGATGCTCAGACACAAAAGGTAATTTCCACAGGAGATCAGGAATTTCCAAGGGGGTTTATTAGAGACAAACGTGCAAGAATATTTTTGTGATTAGTAAATACAGAACAATGGATAATTGATTATGTTGATAGTTGACGTGTACAAATGTTTTCAGCCTTCTTCCTATCTAATGAGTTTCTTCCAAAAGGCTGCACAATCTTTAGAGTTTCATTTCCTTCTTGAACCTGCATGTACAGCCCCAAAGACCATTAGAAGGACTTGTGGCTTCAGGGCTACAGAGTTCCATTTGCTAAAACAATCAGCAATGCACGTCCTGAAGGAATCTAAGGCTTAATAAATGAATAAACAATAGACTTTTAAAGAAAGAAACATAAGTAGAGTCTGCTTTTCCAGTTCTTAAAATTAAACTGTAAAATAAATACAAACAATCAAAGCAGACATATGCAAAGTCACATAAAAGAGAAAAATTGCTCCCCAAACTGACCTAACCTTGTTGAGTATTAACCTGGTAGGTGTTAACCTATCTAAAGCAAACTTGTGTCCATCCAGCCAAGTAGCAGGTCAATCACTGATGCTTAAGAGTTGGAGGCAAACACAGGCAGAGGGTCTTCAGCCCTAGGTTGGGGGAATGACAGGAACAGATGTCAAAGGAGATCTCTGTGGTGGAAATGGCCCTGGGGTATCATGGTTTAGTAAACTGAAACATTTAGATCAAGCAACTAATGCCCCTTGTCTGAGCCTGTACTCACAAGCTATTTGGCTTCCTGTGTAGACTTGCCTTTCAGAGGAAAAAACCATACTTGTCCACACATGAGTTTGTGGTCCTCGATATTTACATTTCTCATTTTAATTAATAATTCTGATTTCGATAATAAGACAGTTTTATTTGCCTGTATAGGTCACCAGAAGCCAAATTAAACCCCATGGTGCTCCAACAAAGTTAAACTTCTAAGGTGGATGAGGTGAGGGGTGGTCAGGGAAGGTCCCCTGAGGCAGTGACATTTAGACAGAGACCTAAAGAAAAGGCAGCAGGGAGGTGGAGGAAGGTGGAGGTGTGGAGGGAGGAGTGGAAGGAAGCGTGTGGATGACGGCCGGAGAAAATGGACACGGTGTGGCTGGAGCACGGCGAGTGAAAGGGCATTGAAGTGGATTCAGGAAATGAATGAGGGCACCGCAGTAGTGCAGGAAAGAAGTGGTGGAGGTGGCTTGGACTCCAGAGGTCACAGGGGAGACAGAGAGATGATCATGGGTGTCAGAGACAGAAGGTGGAATCATCAGAAGTTGGTGATGGGTTGATGTGAGAGTGAAGGAGAAGGGGGCTTAAGGGGGATGAGGGGGAAGGAGGTTTCGAGGACGACTTCCCGATTTGCAACTTGGACAACACCGTAGACAGTTGTGCTGCACGATCAGACGGAGCGCGAGGAGTCGCATCTATCCTCACGCTGCACACTCTGCCGGCCTGGCCCATCCTTCTCCCGCTCTGTGCAGACCTTATGTTCAACTGCCCACAGGCACTGTGCCAAAAGCACAACACACCCAGGACAAACCCATCTTCTTCAGCCCTTCTGCTCTCCTTCCCATGCTGACTCATGGGGAAAGGAAACACCCTCTACCCAAGCAGACAAGCCAGAGACAGGGTGCTGTCCTTAACCTCATTCTGTCACCTCTAGGCAACAGCCAGATCCTGAGGAGTCGACCTCCCTGACAGTCCTCTTCATTCATTCATTGGCAAATATTTACTGAATAACTACTTATTACTTAACAGGGGCTGGGACGACAACAGTCAACCAGACAGTCATGGTCTCATGAGAACTTTTTGATGTGAACTGACAAATATATGAGTGACTATAATACACAGTGTGGTGATGAGGATGAGTGAGAGAGAGCTGGGTGACAAGGCTGCAGAAAGAGCATTCCAGTGACCTCTTCCATGTAGGAAACAGATGACAAGAATATATCATTAAATACCAGGCATCCATGCCAGTTAGGATGCTCTTGGCTACAAGTAACAGAATACCTGACTAAAAGCAGTTTAAACAAGTTCATTCCTGTTTTGGTGCAGCTGCTCAACGATGTCACCAAGGGTGCCATTTCCTTCTATCCTCCTCATCATTCTCAGCATCCCCAGAAGGCACCACTGTCATCCCCAGACTTCTGCCTCACAGTCCTGAAATGGCTGCCCCAGCTGCAAACATCACAACCACATAAAGAAGAAGGGAGTCAACTAAATTTGCAAGAGAGCCATCTTCTCCTGTCTCTCTCTCATTTTTTGGTTTTTTTTTTTTTTATCATGGAGGGAAATCTTTCTCAGAAGCTCCCCCAAAATACCTTTACTTATGTCTTTTTGGCAGAACTGAATTATTTGGCTATTTCTGGATGCAAAGGAGCCTGGGAAAGCACGCATCTGGTACTGTCAGCTTCTGCTGTGACAGATGAGCTCTTTCATATTGGAACAAAACAGAAGGAATCCGCTACTGGACAGGCAGCCAACATGTCTACTGCACTGGCATATTGTACCACCACATTAGTACCAACGTGCCCAGACTAGAGAGAGTCCTGTTGTGATAGGCAAGACTGTCTATTGTGGGGTTCACAAAAAGGTTTGGGACAGAGATCTCAACCAAGACAAGACCTTTTTCACAGGGATGCTTTCAGGAATACCTGCTGGAATAGTCCCAGAGTACATTAGTATACTCCAGCCTTATACAGAGTTGGATAGCCTCTAACAAGATTCTAAGCAAAGGATGAGACGTGATAATAACAGGCAAGGGAAGCTTGGGGTCCATTCGTGTTCTAATTAGTTCTCTTGATCTCAGTTTGAAGCCTATAAATCATACCACATTGCAAGGCCCTGCTGGAAATAACTGAGTTTTAATTCAGTTCCAGTTCAATGAAGCACTAAAAACAAGTGTTCAACATTTTCTGGTTTATGGTTCCAAATAAACAGTGAGAAAGCAAGTTTCCTGTTTGGGTTGGAACCATTGGATCCTAGCCCATCAAAGCTTGAATTATATTGCAATGACAGGCAAAGATTTCAAGGGGAAGAAGTGAAGTGCAGGGGAAATTCAGCACAGTTCCAGGAAACCTGGCTAAAATTAAGCCCCTCAGACCACAGCAAAGAATGGCAACTAGGACCTGAGCCAGTAGCCCAAGTGCAAGTGCAACTTGGGCCAACAAGCACACACACAAGCAGATCATGAAACTGGCAAACACAACAAGGAGGCCTTTCTGCATTGTGAGACCCACATGTTGGCCTCTGAATAAGAGCCTAGATCTGTTCTTTCAAATACGGTAGCAACTAGCCACGCGTAGCACTTGAAATGAAGCTAGTCCAAATGCAGATGTACCCTATAAGTAAAGTTCACAGTGGATTTCAAACACTTAGGATAAAAAAGTGTAGAATATTTTAATGATTTTTATATTGGTTAAATTTTGAAATGACAATCCTTTGGATACATTGAATTAAATAAAATATATTATTAAAAGTAATTTCACAATTTTTTTTTACTTTTTTTAATATGGGCACTATAAAGTTTAAAATTACATGTATAACTTGCTTTTTTGGCTCACATTATATTTCTATTAGGCAGCACTGGCCTCGACAGTGCCCTATCCCCCAGCTTTTAGTGGTTTACAAAGTCTCCATGGCAACTCAGATGGCACCAAGCTGATGGAACTCAAACTATCAGAGAATTCATCCTTCTCTGAAAGAATGCATGGATAAGAAGCCTTTTCTCTGTTACATTGTGGAGGCAGAGCTTGGTGATTCAAATCCATCAGTTCAAAGACTCCAAATGTCAATTTCAGATTAAATTTCATACCTTTCCAGGAATGCTATATTTCATGCACCTTGAGTAGGTCATTTTTTTTAAATAATCATGACACATTTACATTGTGAGGAGGCTGATTTTCTTGTGTGTGGTGTGAAGTTTTTCTGAAGGCAGTACCTGAAGAGGAGCATCTAAAACATTCAGAGCTAGGGTGGCACCCTGGGGACAAGTGGGCCGCCTCCCAATGTGCCCAAGTACAGATGACTCTCACCTGGATGCACAAGTGCTCAGCAGTCAAAAGCAATGAAAAAATGAAGCAACTGGGTATAAGGCAATAGGGAATAGTGGAGATTGTAGCAAACTGAAGATTGTATATCCTCATTCACATTCCGATTGCACATTCACATTCAGATTTTTTTTAACACAATACTAGCCAGACAAAGCACATTTGGGAGCTGGATTTCTTCCATGGGCTCCATTTTGCAAATTCTATTCCCAGGCACCCCTGATAAATGGTCTACAATGCTTCACAACCAGGGGCATTTATCAAAATTATAGATAAGGGCCTTTGAAAAGTTGTTTCCATCTTATCTAGAACCTCCTGAATCCATATCTTTAAAGGTACTACAGATGATTCTAATGGGCCCTCCTACATAAAAGCAACTGCAAGTTCAGAAGATTCAGAAAGCCCTGGAGTCTGGAGCAACTGAGGAGGGTGGGGAGAACAGAGCTTTGGTGTGCCCACCGCATTGTCACACACATGCATGGGGCCCCACCGAGCAGGACAGAGCTGAGAAGAGAAGGTGGGGTGGACCAAGGACCTTTTTATGTGCTCTTGCTCCTGCCCTACAAATGTTAGGGGAGGGCCTGACAGGAAGTCAGCTCTGGTCCCCAGATCTAAGGCAAAGGCCAACAAAGCCATTAAGTGGAGATGCAGGGATGAGCCAGGAGACCGAGCTGCCAGCCTGGGGACCAGATTCAAACAAGTGA